GTGTTATTCCATCCATTTTTCCATAGTACAGTCATTTTTCTTGTACTTTTGTTGAGTTCTTTCAACAACTGTCTTATCCCCTTATTTTACCCCCATTTAATTAAGTGAACGAATGCAATGCTGCCATCTTCAGGTCACTGGCTAAATACGACTGGAAATGATAAACTGATTCCTTCCTTAAAAAGAAATATATATATTTTTTTGATGGAGTGTAAATTTGATGGAGCAAAACTGGTGTTCTTAGAGTTCATGCTATTCTTTAAGTTCCTGTTTTTCTAGTCTTTGATTTCAGTATCTGCGTGGTCCTTGGAGAGTGGTAAGTTCACCCTCTATTTTCTGGTATCCTATTTTGTCCTTCCCCTGTCCTGACCTAGCACTGATCCCCAGAGGGTAATGCATTTGGCTCCAGAGACTCTATGCTTCCCTTTGTCATGTCCCAAATATTTACTTGTACATTCTAGTAAACTCCTTTGCTACTCCATGCCTTAGAAATACCAGGTACATGCGCAGAGACAAAAGCCACTTACAATTTTGTGCTTATGCAAAGTGTCTCATTTCTAAAATAATCCTCTCCACTTTCCCCAGTCCTTCCCATGATTATCATCTTAACTCAAATCCCCAATCTGCCCTAAGCCCAATTCCCCCAGAAACCTGTCATCACATTCATCTCTCCTTATTACTAATGAATAGAATTCAATACCTAATTGTTCTCTAGTTGCCTCATTTTGCTCATTTAGATTTATGATTATTTTCTAAAACTACTGAAGCAAATGTTGTTTTCTCCACATTTCCTAGCACAATAGAAGACACAGTAAATGCTCAACAACCCCATAAGAGTTGTTTATGTGAGATACATCTAAGTGCTCACTAAAATGAGATCTTACATATCTATCCCTTTCTCATTCCTTAGTAGAAAATAAGTTTATTTTTGTAAAGTTAAGTATGAGCACCTTATTCTTCATAAAAATGACTATGTAAGCTATAACCATGCAAAGAAATCTTAATAATCAGTGGGAAAAATTATGATTGTTCAATGATCTTCAACATTTTTTCAAAATTTAAAAAATTCATACTGTTGCTTATAAATAAATAGGGAAATGAAACCCAGTAAAATGAATGTTTTTGTACACAATTTTGCAAAATAACTTATCAAAAGTAATTTTAACAGCGCTTGCTTTTTTCCCCCAGGATAGTTTATGATATGGAATAAGCATCTTTTCTATTTCCTGGTGAATCATACCACTCTGTCCTAAGTTTGGATTAACTATTTTATTTACCTTTTGCACTTTCAGTGTCAGAAAATATCTCCCAGAATTCCTTTTAAATGGAGATTTTGCCAGCATCACTTTCTCTAGGACATTCTTATTTCTTTTGTCACAACCACATTCATCCTTTGTGTCTATAAGTTCACCTTCATGAAGTTCCTCCGGCTGCTTGTCTAGTCTTTGGAGCAGCAGCAATGTCAACATTCCCATTACCAGCTCTTTCTTCTCTAACTCCACTAATGTTCAATTAGAATTTCACTTTCAGTGTTGTCACCTTTTGTTTCTTTGCTGCACTTTCTTCTTCATTGGCTAATCCCCTCTTTCAATTAGTATGTTTCTAAAATGTCATGTGGGCTTATCACTGGGAGACAAGGAAGCAACACAGGAACATACTTTGCTGTCTGTGCATGAACTGAATGAGAGATGCATAGTAATCAATAGCAGACTTTGAAAGAAGAGATGTGATTGGTCATTGATCATGATACACATCTATTATTTATGTAGTAATTAGTGGACTAAAAAGCTAACAGCTGAGTTTGTACTTTATGCATTTGTTCAGGTTAACATATTGCAGTACTTTAACCAGGAAGCACGTTGTTGTGGGATGGGTGTTATTTAATTAAAATGTGGTAACTGAAATAGTTGCATATCTGAACTATACAAAGCAAGGGTTCCCTGTACTTGGTTTTAACATTCTTTAGATTGATCATTCTGTAACTTCCAAGAATAATCCTCTCTTCCTCTCCTACATTTTCTAAGATAAACATATTATTGTCCTTTTACTAATTTTCAGGAATTTATTCTAAATTCCTTTTCTCAAAATTGAAGCTAGTAGCAATGCAAATGTATCTGTAGTCCCTTAAGTATGCTATTTAGATATCCTATATTTTTTCCTTATAGCCTCAATCTTGCATCTTTTGAATATAATTGGAGGATGATTCAGCCAATCATCCTATATAATAAAAGACTAATATGCAAATCGACTGAAGGGCAGAATGACCAGTTGCTATGAACACACTGACCACCAGGGGGCAGACTCTCAATGCAGGAGCTGCTCCCTGGTGGTCAGTGCACTCCCACATCCCCTGAGGACTCCCAAACTGCAAGAGGGCACAGGCCAAGCTGAGGGACGCTCCCCCCCCCACCCGAGTGTATGAATTTCGTGCACTGGGATGTTAGTCTAACATATAATCTTATCTAAAGGGACAGGAATGTATAAATTTCCCATTCCTTAGTAGGACATAGATTGTTCATTTTTCCTTCTTCTCTAGCTAAGCAATAAAATACTCTTTTCATCATTGCTTATTATATTTGAGGAATATTTTTTCTTATTTTGTTGTTTTCTATTTTAACCCTCATAGTTTGGTTCATATCTTTCTTCCTTCAATGATCTGACCTAATTTCTACTACTTTATTTTTTGCAATTAACCTGGAAATATTGACATACAAATATCAAACTATTGTTTTCCAAAGCTTTTATCTTTAAAACCAAATGGGTTGCCTTGCTATTTACTCTTTTTCAATATGATAGTGAATGGCTAGGCCTATTTGGGTAGATTGTTGATATGAAGGGCAATAGCAGTTAGAACTAACTTAAGAAAAGCTGGTTTTTGGAGTCTTCCCTGACTGTGTACCCCTCATATCAATAACACTAATGTGGCAGTTAACATTCACTTTTCAGTATTACTAGTATTTCATGTTATTATTCAAAGATCTTGTATACAATTGAGACTTCTCTATACAATTCCAGAAGGTAGGATTAAAGCCAATAGGAGGAAAGAGCTTCCTAATTTGTTTTCACCTTAAAGATTAAATATTCTAATGTTAAGAGCTTTCCCAAAACTGAAGACTTGAGGAGGTAGGAGTCCTGTATCTGGAAGTGTTCAAACAGAAACTGGAAGGTCCTAGGAATATGGCAGATAATGCATGAGTAGGAGATTTGATGTAGTGACTTTGCAGATTTCCTCATACACAAATTAAGTAGTTTTTAATATGTCACTTAGTGATATCCATGTTATGTTTTATCCTGGTGTGGATGGAAAATATGCAAAGTTTTCAAAAATAAGGGAGTTGATTGTCTATTGATAGTGCTTTCCCCTCTTCACCAAGTGCTAAAATACGTTGTAAAATAGACAAAACTGGTAAAAGTGGCTGCCATTTCTTGAACACGACTGTGTTCCATGCACAATGCATGGTGCTTCATACATATAATCTTTAATTCTGTAAAAGTTCTGCAGGGTAGGTATTAGTTTTTAAAAAAAACACAAAAAATTAGACACATTGAATCAAAGAGCTAAAATTCTATTGTGGTTCAACTCCAGGTTCTGTACTACTTTACTGTATTGTATGATTCCAACTTTTAAACATGAACTTCAAAAATGAATCCTAAATATTTATTGAACGCTTGGTACTGGAACAGCATTATAAAGATGTAACAAAATTTTAAAATAAATATAAAACATAGTTTGTTTTTCCTTCAGAAACTGAACTTTCTGGTTAGAAAAATGATGCTATATTTTAAAAGTCAACAAGTCAAAAACTTAACCACAAAAGATAAACCTTAAAATAATTTTACATCTAGAATATAAAATATATATGTTCCTTCTTAGTAACCAATTAGGCAATTGTAATCTTTACTTTCAATTGAGTTTGGAAAGTAAGATATAGGAATGTCTAATTACCCCATTCTTCCTGGCAGAAGGGCTATATACTCATGGTTTCTACTGAAAAAGTCAGTAAATGTGCTACAACCTCTTCAGTGAGTTGTGCACAGAAGAATTGCCCTTTGATTTACAAGTCCAGCTGCTATTTGCACAACATGGTCTTATTTGTACTTCCTTTTCTTTAGACTCATAACATGCTTGAAATCTTTGTTCAAGAATAACCCCGTCATACTAGCCTGCTGCTCCACCAGCTGCTGTACTCTCTGCTGTGGCTGCTGTCCTCATGTTTCTACGAGGCTATGTCATTTCCAGTGGTCTTTCAGTGAGCCAAATAGTCAATTAATTTTAGGTCTGAATTCCTTCATCATATGTGTATGTCAATGGAGTCTTATTGAAATAAAGTGAGTGACGTGGAGCAATGCTTTAGCTAACAGGTCATAAAATCTGGCAGGATTTGGTATCATCCAGATTATAGCTTGGAGCATTTTTCCCAGGTATGAAATATGCTGCCTTAAGAGCCCAAAGAGTTCTGCATGGTGTTGTGCTTCCTTTGCCATATTGGAGATGAAAGAACAATGATTTGTTCTTTGCCTTTAATGAGATAGTTCAGTATGTCCCTGACCACTGGACCCCTAAGATTTTACTGATGAAGCAGGCTTTTAAATCTTTATAGAGCTTATCTCTTGCCAATTTACCAGGATTTCCTGCACTTTAGCCATCTTTTGCGCATCCTATCTGATCAGCATCATGCCACGGACCTATGTTCTGTCTACACATTCTGCATTTAACAACATGTAGAATGTCCAGACAAAACAGACCTTTTGGGGTTGTATTACGACAGAGAATGAGAGAGATAATGTAGTCCTGCAACAAAACTGAAAATATATACTGTTGTTCTTTCTGTGTAAATGCAAACTATTTCTGATACTCTTTTCTGATAGGAATGGAATTAACTTATTCATCAAATCAATGGCTGCATACCATGTACCTGAGGCCACATTGATCTCTCCTAGCAAAAATAGAGCACATTTGGCATAGCAGATGCCACTGAGAGTTCCTTTTGATTGAGTTGATGGTCATCGTGTTCTGGGATCCTCCTGGTTGTTGCATGGGCACCAAAATGGTAAATTAAATGTAGGAATAATAGAAACCACCACTCCTGTACCTTTTAGAAATCCCTGGATTTAAGTTATCTATTTTTTAAAATATATTTTTATTGATTTCAGAAAGGAAGGGAGAGGGAGAGAGAGAGATAGAAACACCAATGATGAGAGCAAATCATTGATCAGCTGCCTCCTGCACACCAGGGGATGTCCCCACACCCCAGGCATGTGCCCCGACCAGAATCAAACCGTGACCTCCTGGTTCATAGGTCGACACTCAACCACTGAGCAATGCTGGCTGGGCAGTATCTAAATTTTTATAATGCTTGACTTTTGTCCCAGAATGAGACACTATTCCTATCTTGAAAGGTTGTTAGCGAAAGAAACATCCTTAAAAGATATCTTAGAAGAAAGGGAATCAGTATTTCTGTTCACAAAGCTTATTGAAACACTACAGACCTAGAAGGAATAACCTCTCGGTGAATGAGCCCTTGACAAGAGCAATTCATTGGAGTGACAGGATTTAAAGCCTAATTGGAGTGCATTTCTAAAAGAATTCGAGAAGAATTAGAGACACTAATTATAGACAATTCTTTTAAATAGTTTTGCTGCCAAAGAGGGCAGATCGCTGGAAGGGAAATGTGTGCTCAAGACAAGTTGTTTGTTTGTTTGTTTGTTTGTTTGTTTCTTTGTTTGTTTAAGATGGAAAAGGCAAAAGTATGTTTGTATTAAAGAAAGAAAAATTGATAATTTAGGAAAGGGGATTAAAAATTACTAAAATGGTGCCTTTGAGTAGAGAAATGGATGAGATTTATTTGAAAGTGTAAGTTTCAGCCTAGAGATTATAGCTTACAAATGGAAGAGAACATAAGAATACAGATTGCAGAGATGAATAGATGGGATGGTGAGTTGTGAAAGCTTTCTTTTGATTGCTTCCATTTTCTCAGTATAGTAGGAAGCAAGAGCAAAAGTTTGAAGTGAAAATAAAAAAAGTGTTAAAGGTTGGAATAGAGAGGAGTAGGTTCAAAATATTATTCTAGGAGAGTGGGAGAGGGCATGGACCAGAAAGCTGTAGTATGGTTGCCAAGGAATCCAATTCAGGCTACTAGCCATGAATTTGAAGTTAAATCACTCAGCATGGTTTTGTCTTTTTTCAACCATGATTAGTTGCACAAGTTCAGGTATGGATTAAATGGAAAGTTGTCAATAAATGGTGTTTTAGGTTTTCTCATCTCCTTTTGCAGATTGCCTGCATTGTCAAAGTTGGAGACAATGAAAAATATACAAGTTCTGGTTTGTCCTCGTGCATTTCAGTTTTGCTTCTTTTTCTCCCCTTCAAGCTTTTCCTCCCAATTGTTGGCCCTGTTGACCTATAGTGACGGTTAGGCACCCTCAGACCCAGAGACTAGAGCAGTGATGGCGAACCTTTTGAGCTCGGTGTGTCAGCATTTTGAAAAACCCTAACTTAACTCTGGTGCCGTGTCACATATAGAAATTTTTTGATATTTGCAACCATAGTAAAACAAAGATTTATATTTTTGATATTTATTTTATATATTTAAATGTCATTTAACAAAGAAAAATCAACCAAAAAAATGAGTTCGCGTGTCACCTCTGACACGCGTGTCATAGGTTCGCCATCACTGGACTAGAACCTTCCATAGACTCCTTCAACAAATGTGTAAGTTTGAATCCATATAATAAATCCCTTCGTTCCATAGTGTTTCTGTTTACCTAATTGAGCCTCAACTTATATAGGATGAAAGGATATTCAGAGAAATTATGACAAACCATGAATTCCTATGGCAATAGCACAAGTACAGTATTTCTGTAGATGGAGAGCCATTGTAGATTAGGGCAAAATGGTGAATGCAGCCAGTTAACCAGAGGTTAGAGTGTAAGTGTGGAAGGTGACATGGGAGATCAGCGCACATTAAGTCCACATAAATAAGGGTAATAGAATGTTATCCTTCTTAGTCCTGTGGAGCCCACGCCAACCCTGATAAAGAGCCTCTGATGGCGGAAGACCAGCAGATCGGAGAGCGGGAAGCTATCTTTCAGGTACAAAGAGGCCTGAGCAGCTGGTTTTATTTCACTCACAAGTTTGGAGTAAATCTGAAGGAAGTGAGCAGATCAGGGAAGTCAGGTTTTACCTTATTCCATACTTAATGCACATTTATGTTCTCAAGAGGCCCTATTGTATGTCATCTGTTTATCACCAAAGGTCCCACAGACTCTTTTCTCTTATGGTTTTTACATTTTGGAAGCTTTTGTTTTTTTTTAATCAAAAACGTTGGGATTTTTTAGTCAATCAATAATCAACTGCCAATTTGAAATTTAGATCATCATAAACCAGCCACTGTTATCACAAAGGAGAGAAAAATCAACATTTTAGTTGGTCTGAGAAAGTTCATACAAGAAATAAATGTTTTTTATTTGCTCAGTTTCCAGAAATACAGTATAGTCTGGTTAAGCCTGATAGATTGATCATGTCCTTTTAAAATTCATCTTTAATAATAAACAATAAAGGCCCCCCTAAATAATCCTATATAATAAAGAGCTAATATGTAAATGGTTGTCACGTGCTCGCGACTTCATGCCCTTGCACCCTTGCACCGGGGCCTGGGGACCTGAGGCCACGCCCCCTGCCCTGGTGCTGTGGCTGGGAGACCTGAGGCCAGATTGGGGGACCTGAGACCGCGCCCCCTCCCCCGACGCCAGGAACAGAGGACCTGAGGCTGCGCCCCCCCACCTGGTGGGGCTTGATGTGGGACCTGAGGCTGTGCACCCCACCCAGCGGGGCTTGACAGGTGTGGGGCCGGCTGAGTCTGGGTCTCGTGCGATTTTGAGTCGCATGTGCATGGGCGGGGACTTGACTCTGGGTCCTGAGGCGCACCCCAGACTCTGACAGGAGGGAGATTTTTTATATACATTTTACTAACTTTCTTTCATCTCTGACACTTCTATTATAGAGAAAGGGCAAATAACAATATTAAAATATTTCCTCTAATTAATTCCCTTTTAATGTGCATGAATTTCATGCACCAGGCCACTAGTGTTAATTATATTTTAAGTCATTAATCTACAATAACAAAGAGAATAGGACATGAAACATCAGTAGTAGGTTATTTTAATAAAGTTTCAGAAGTTTTAATCTAGCTCTATCAGCTGCCAGGAGATATAAATACCGCCAAAGGCAAACATACTTTTTTCCCCCTAACTTGCTCCATTGAGGAGTA